TGTGAAGCATCTTTGAGTGACCTAAAAAGCGCTATATAAGTTTGATGTATTATTATTATTATTAGTAGTAGTAGTAGTAGTACAGTATCAAATGATTGCACTCAGGTTTTAGTGTTTTTCTGATTTCTTGATGGAGTTAGTATTGTTTTACTTTCTCGCGGTATTTTTGTTTCCTAAATAAAATTGTTGTGATCTTTTTCATCCTCACTTCAAGTTCAGAGCCCTCTGGGGACCATTAAGATGAAGCACTTTGCATCAAACCTTGAAGAATTATTGATTTTAAACCACCCAATCTCCTCTTAAAGCTCGAGAACTGACTTTGTTACATAATCTTCTAATTGAGATTTGTTTTTTGTTTATTTAAACAACACATGTGGATTATGTTTGTCGATAAATGTCTGCTAATCGTCTCAAACTCCTCACATTTTCTCCTTCCTGTTCATTTGCCCATCCCTTGATGATGTCACCGCTGAAGTTCACAGTGAGCTGTAGCGCAGCTCACCCTTCTGTCACAGATGCAGACTCACATCCTCCACCGACAGACTGCACATGTCTCTGCAACAGATGGAAATCAAGCCATGCAGACGCAACACCACACACACACACACACACACACACACACACACACACACACACACACACACACACACACACACACACAGAGGCCAGCTGCTCCTGCTGGATTCATAAATAGATAATCAGGAAACAAATTAAAAGTCTGAGTGGTGACTAGTCCTGGATTATTTGAATAAAAACAAGCTGTGACATTTTCATGTGTTATTATAGTGTAATAAACACCACAACTCTATGATACATCTCCATGAGTCTGATGTTGTACCAGGATGAGTTCTCCTGACGCTCCTCCATCAGCCACTTATTCAGTCTTGAAACGGATCCGCTCCTCCCAAACGCCTTCACAATTTAACGTTTCCAACCTACAATCATCATTTTCATTTTCTCTCCAAACCCTTTATTCCTCCTCATCATCGGTCGGCTTCCACCCACCCACTCGTCAGAGCTCTGCCATCCTTCAGGCCTCTTCAGCTTGTTGCTGAAGGTGTCTGATTTAATCTACGGCCATGTTTTGTACATCTTTGATTTCTGTTATTATAAAACATAGTTTAGGTATTAGACAAAACTCTTTTGTAGCTTTTTGCTGATAAAAGTGTTTTGTGCTCCACGGACCACTGCAGAGCTTTCATAATCCTGCACAAAATGTCAGACAGGCTGTTGTTTGCAGCGCTGAATAAACAGATTGTGGTAAAATCTCCTCTGAGAGACTGGATTCACACCAGATAGTCATTATTTTCAAGTTCAGAGCATTTATATTGGTGCATTTTTATCATCCAAACATTCTGCATGATTTCTTATTTATTCACAAAATTCTGAGCAAATAAGCGTAAGTAAAAATTTGTTGTTTTGCGTATTTTTTGTGCATTCTGGTCAGGAAAGCAGGTGGATGTTGGGGTTAGGGTAGCACAGCAGCAACAGGCTGGTGATGCAATATGAACCACGCTGTTGGTGTGAACATCAGATACGTGGAGTGTCTGCATGCTGCCGTCCACGTGGTGTGAGTGGGCACTGTTGAACACGGCAGTTTAGTTTGTTCTTTAAGCTTTTTTAACTTCTTGCAAACTCAAAAGTCGATTGATTAGTAGAAATGCAAAGTGTTTATTGGTCCAGATTCAGCGGACCCTCACCTCACAATAGCTGTGTTTCCACTACCGAAACACCACGTCCAGACATGTGCGTGTCTCTGCTTGACCCGGCCGACTGGACAGCCGTTTTCAGGGACGTTTTGCATTCCTGATCAGGGGTAGGTGCTCGGAACGGCCCGGTGGAAAAGCTGAGTGGAGTCATTGGTTGTAACTCAGTAGGAAATTACATCAGCAGACGTCCAAAACAACTGGCGGAGGAAAAAATAGAAGAACTGCTGGTGAAGCAAAAGGGGAACGAAGCACCGATCACCCTAATGTAGCGCTGACAATCTACATAGTAGGATTTAACGCTGTTTGCTATCCAGCTTTGTTAGATCCTGAGAAAGATCAAACAATATTAACATATGAAGCTTGTATCATGTATAAATATCCAGGATATTTATATAATCGATAGAAGTTCATGCACCAAACTGCTTGGTCTATATTTAATCCAAAGATTAATATTTAATTCAAGAAATTTAATTAATAGCAAAAGATTATTTATTAAACAGAAGACTTAATGGAATCTTTGCTTGTTCAATAACCAAATATACACCATTCTGTGTTTCATTTCAAAGAAGAGTCAAGTTTAAAAAGTGAAGAATGTATTACTAATAATTTAAAAATGACAATTTATACAGCTTTGATATTAAAACTTGGTATTAAAAGCAAACCTGTGTCTGGGTGGAAACTAGAATGGAATGCGTGTGTTTGGCTGCGTGGATGAATCTCAGAAGATTTCTTTCAGAGAGAGAAACGCGTTCTGGGTGGAAAAGTTGTTTTGCTGCTAACTGAGTTATTTC